ATTAACATGTACTTTTCTCCTGAGGCTTTTTAAATAAGTTCATGTTCAAACAGGATTTTAACCTGCTGAGCTACAGCAGCTCTCACAGAGGAGGAGCAGATCCAGAATTTAGGTTTTGACTGTTTGTAGTTTGTTTTCTCTCCAGTTTAACAGTGACTCCTCTCTGGTTGCTACTGGTAACCAGTCCTGAACATGGCTGAATGGTAAACTCAGGGTTTAATTTAATGTCTGAACAGTTAAATCTTCATAATGAATCTGCATCCACTGGTTTGTTGTTTGGATGCTAATGCTAAAGCTAAAATAAGAGTAGAGCCTGATGTCTCTGTGTAACATCTTCATCACTATCAGGTCAACGAAGGAGCTAGAGAACTAAACATGATGATGGTTGAATTATCTATTATCTCTCTGAAAGGCATCATGGGAAATGTACTGCCGGGAACAGCAGCGGGGTCAGGAGACAGTAGAGCGACATCACTTCCTCTCTGCAGCTGGAATGTGCCGACTGGGAGGAGCGCACAGGAAGAGGAAGTGGAGCCTCCTACCGCCGCTGCAGGGAGAGGTCAGAGGTCACACAACAGTATCGGGGTCTCACCTTTCAGCCCGTTACCATGGAGACAACCCCAAGAGAGAGGTGGGGAGGGTATGAATCACTTCCAGATGTGTGTGCGTTTGTGTTTCTGCCAATTATGTGTGTTTGTGTTAATCTGAACATGGGAACATATCAACGCTGTAAACATCCGACACACACACACACACACACACACACACACACACACACACACACACACACACACACACACACACACACGTCTGAAACTACCAGGACAGATGCACAGAGAGATTTTCCAGCTGCGGACCGAGAGCTCGTCAGAACTAGTTTCCAGAGTGGATCAATTAGACGATCCTGCTGGATGGAAAACATATGGAAGTTCAATAACATCAAAATGACTGAGCTGATTCTTAAAGGATCCACAGTTAAGTCCATCATTAAGTCCACAGTTATTCTATATCTGTCTATAACCGATCCCATGTGCAGACCCAGACCCAGACCCAGACCCAGACCAGGCTCCGGTCCTCAGATAGAAGAACATGAGTCTTCATCGTCATTATTATTGATGAGTGAGACGTTGGTCCAGACACTGAGCAGACACATGGAGACGGAGGATTGAAGCTGTGACACTTAAAACATATATTTTGTTGTCGTTGTTGTTGTGTTTTTAATCTGATTTGATTCATTAATCAGGTAAAAACATATTTAAATATTTGGATGTAAGTTTCAAACCCACAACCTCAAAACAATCTAGACTATAATCTATAATCAGTGATCCACATCAAACAGAATAAATCAATAAATTCAATGTATCTGGATCTTCTCAGTTTGTGACTGAGGTTTCTGAGCTTCAGCAGCTCTCACTCTGATCGAGTGAGCCAGATTGTGGTGCAATGAATTCTGGGTAAATTAAGACTTTTTTCAAATGATAGAAAACGGTCGAGTGAGGAACCACATCCAACCTCTGAGCGGTGTTCCCCCTCAGAGAACATGTTTGTCTTCAGGAAGAATTCAACAGCTACAGGACGTTTCACTGAAGAGTGAAACAATAAAAACAAAATGGCTGCTGTCTGTTCTCTGTGCTCTCTCTATAACAACGTTAGCAAACCACTAATCATCAGCCATGTTTTCCTGTTTGTTGCTGTTGGCTGCTGCAGGTCAGCGAAGGTCTGACCCATGAGTCCAGGTTCCTCTCTGATGCTCCATGTTGACTCACTGTAGAGCTCTGTGAGGATCAGCTGATCACCACGCATCGTCATCGTGTTCGCCAGTAAACCACTCAGTCCTTTGTTTCTGTCGTCATGGTAACGATGACACCTTGATTTATGATGTTAAAGCCTCAGTGTCCTCACAGCGTGTTTCACATCGTCCTGTGAGGACACGAGAGAGACGTCCTGTAGCTGCTGGAGTGTTAACTCTGAGAGACTCTCTATCTGTCTGTCTCTCTGCCTCTCTGTCTGCCTGTCTGTCTCTCTGCCTGTCCGTCTTTCTGCCTCTCTGTCTGTCTCTCTGTCTGTCTGGGTCACATACAGTGCGTGCACACACACACACAGGATCTTGTTCTCAGTTTTCTGAAGGTTGTAACTCAAACAATAACATTAACTATCATGAAATTCTCTGTGTTCAGATATCATGACTTAGACAAGGATTTCCTTAAGGGGGGGGGTTAGAGTGTGTTACAGTGGAACTGGGACAGCACAACACCAACGTGTGTGTGTGTGTGTGTGAAGGGTCATTAGTCACTCAGCCTGTCTCAATATTTTCCTTCTAATTAACTTGAAACACACACGACCAGACTGAAGCATTTTCATTTCCTGTTACCATGGAAACCATTCATTATTGTCATTAATAATATCGATGTTTTATTTTTGACGCAATGTGGACGTGATAGTGAACAAGGTTCTTGATCTCCGTGGTAACTGGTTCCAGGACCGGGTTCAAAGAAGGCCAGGAGTCCTGGAGAAAGTTCCAGCAGGTCCTGACTTGTTCTCAGAAGACGTTCTTGTAAAGGTTCTAAGGATCAGAGGGGAGGTTCTCTTTACAGTCACAGCTCAAACTCCTGGATGTTCACAGGTTCTTCAGCAGGTTGTACCAGTCTGTGGTGAGGTTCTGTGATTTCCGAGGTTCTTTATTTGGTTATGAGAGCTGCTGGTGAAATTGCAGGTGTTCTGGAGGTTCTTCAGGAGGATCTCTGAGTCGTTAGAGAGGTTCCAGGAGTTTCACAGAGGTCCTCAGGTAAATTCTGAGAGTCACCGTCTCCTGAGTTTCAGAGGTTCTTCAGGAGGTTCTAAGAGTTGTTGCTGAGGTCCAGGAAGTTTTGAAGCTACTTGAAGATGATCACAGGCTTGTTGGTGAGGTTCTAGGAGTTTCAGAGGTTCTTGATGAGGTTCTGAGAGCTGTTGGTGTTATTCCGAGAGTTTGTTGAGGAACTTTAGAGAGAGGGAGGCTCTTACAATCGTGATGGAGGTTCTTTGGCAGGTTCTACAGGAGGTTTGCAGAAGAACTGCTGAGACTCCAGGGCTCAGTGACGTTCTCCGTCAGCTCCGGTCCTCGGTCAGAGTCCAGGAGTGTCAGAGGTCGTTAAGGAGGAACCAGGCGTCGAGGAGGAGCTGCCAGATGTCTATAACGAGGTTCCCTGAGATTCCTGACGGGAGTCCCAGAGGTTCTACAGCTGGTTCCACAAGCTCTGGAATAGTTTCCAGGGTGCTGTGGTATGATGGAGGTCAAGCCGAACTGGAAAAATCACATGCATGACTGTTCAACACAAACACACACACACACACACACACACACATACTAAACACACACACACACACACATACTAAACACACACACACACACACACACACACACACACATATTTAACACACATGTATTCAGGCACTTCAGAGCTGTCAGTATTGATCGTTTTGGAGAGAGAGACACAGAGCAGGAGGGCGGCCAAAATCTATCAGGATATCACTCACACACTCACACACACACACACACACTCTGACACACACACACACACAAAACACAAAACTTCTGGTTTTTCATTTCTCTGCCAACAATGTGCTCATTAAAGTGAAATAACATGTCGACATGTTCCTTCCTTTACATCACACACACACACACACACACACACACACACTCTCACTCACACACACACACACTCAGCTGAACATCAGATCCAGCTGCTGCTCTTCATAAACACTCAGATCGTCTGGAAGTGATTTCTGAGACGAGTGGTGAGCTGCAGGTTTCCACTGAGGGGAGGGGGGGGTGGGTGGGGGGGGGTCAATCTGTGATCAATTGACAGCATCTTGCATAAATCGCTTGTTGGTTGTCATGGTGACAGCTCAGTCTCACAGTGTCCTTCATCCTCTCTCTCTCTCTGTCTCCCTCTCTGTTTGTACAGTCTCAGGTTACACTGCCTGTCAATCAGAGAGCACACGTGACCTCTGACCTCTGACTGTTTGTTGTTGAAGTCAAACACCTGTCTGAAACTACACTCTGTTATTTCCTGTTGTGTTGTTGTAATCATGTAGTGAGCTCGGCCAATCAGGAGCCAGATATGTCCCATGTGACCAGCTGGGACCTGAATCATCATGCCGAGGACCAACTGCCATCACCATGGCAACTGCTGAGATGTCTCCCCTCCATCAGGTCTGCTATTTGTCTCTCACACACTCATCCCTCCATCATCTCCGTCATGAACACTCACTCACTCACTCACTCACTCACTCACACACACAGAGGGAGTCCCTGTGGTCTGTGTGTCCTCTGCAGGTCAAAGGTCAAACTGAACAGTCTCTGACCTGTAGTAACCTGTTCTGGTACAGGAGCTATTTATATGTTGTTGCTATGGCTACGTAGCTAACATTAGCATCAGCAGCTGTTACATCGTTGACGCTGGTCTCTGTCACGTCTCCGCCTGCCGACACTTGAAATGAAACATATGGAAATTTTTCATTGGACAGGACGATTCATCTTTATTGTGATTGGCTGACAGACGTTCTCCTTTATAACAATAGTAACAATAACAATAATAAAAATATTCCCACGTATGACGAAAAGACGAGAGCTGCTGCTGATCCAGGTTCAGCTGGTGAACTCCACCAATCAGCAGAATCAACAACAGTGACATCACTGCAGCAGCCTTCAATGTGAAGATCGCCGATGCAGTCTCCCATCATGCAACAGTACAGGATAAAGAAGTTGGGCGTTGCTGTAATCAACAGTGAAGAGCGTTCAAGGTGTTTTATTTTGTACCACAGCTTCTCTTCCTGATTTCAACAGGGTCAGTTGATCAGTCCAATCAGCTGTCAGCGTTACTGTGGTCATGAACACCTGGAGGACAGACAGCGGGCTGGCGGTCTGACTCTGATCCTTTCAGTTCTCTGTTCACACCTGGTGTCGTTCACTGGCGGCCTTTCACCTGGACAAACACGGTCTACCTGAGCTACAGGTGTGAAGCCTGTCGCCTGAAACAAGGTTAAACACTTTTTCCTGCTGTGATCCAGCTGGTGAGTCACACTGTCAGACGGACTGACTTCACACGTGATCTTTGGTCCTGAACATGTTTGTGTTTTTCTTTCTTTACAAAATGAAAATAAGAGATTTTTCTGAAATGTACGTTTAGTATAAAAACATTGATCAGCTGCTTAAAAACATGATCGGTACAAAAAGTGCTAAAATACAAAATGAATCAACAGTTGTACGATTCAATAGTTCAATATTTCTAATGTGGACATCAGACCTGAAACTGTCTGGACATCATCTGCTTCTTGTCCTTCCATGTCCCGGATCAGTGGAGTCCAGTCTGCACAGTTAGTGTTTGGTTTTAAAGGCTGGATGTCGGAGGCAGCAGCACCTACGGCTTGAAAACAGCTTCAGTATCTCATCACTGACTATTTGAAATGTACGATGAGTGGACTCATGACCGCTTGTAGCTGCTGGACCGCAGTTTAAAAAAGTCGCTGTCCTCTCAAGACACCTGTCAGTATTCCCTGAAAGTCTCCCGCTCTTCCAGGGAGGTTCAGCACCTGAAGAATCAGTGACGTGGAACCTCAAAGATTTTCTGAGGCCATCAAATCCAGATCCAGTTCACCTCGAGCATCCCTCTTCTTCTTCTCTCGCTCTGGGCAGTCATAGTGGCAGCTTCAGCTCTGACCGTCAGCTGATCCATTCAGAGGTTCAGAGGCGGCCATCTTGTTCTGTATTTCAAACATTAATCTGATCACTTCCTGTTCTTGCAGTTAATGAGTTTGTCAACGTCACGGCAGGGGAACATCCCAGTTGTCTGTGGAGATCTAGTTTACCAGTCGTCCTCCCTAGTGTGTAGTGTCTGAGAGAGCTGTGAACCAATCCCAGCTGTGCTTTAAGGTAGTGGGCGGGGCTTAATGATAACAGCAGAGGGGGGGGGGCAGAACTCTGTCCAATAAGAAGCATCTGTTGAAGTAAATCTCTACATGTCCTCCTGTGTCCTTGGATGCTGATTGGCCAGTGACTACTGTCAGCCCAGGGTTTGAGGCGGGATTATAAAACAACCAATCAGGTCAAGGTAGGAGGAGCTTTGGTTTCCTGAGAAGTGGATTGGCCAGACTGGTTCGGCAGGGCGGGGCTACGTTCATCCTGAGTGGTGACCAGTCAAGTCTTCCTGCGGATCTCCTGAGGATCAAAGAGCAGTAAGTCTAATGTTAGTGTTTTCAGGAAGTTCTTTGTGCTTCTTTAACAACTCATGTCCTCTCATTGGTCCAACCATCAGGAGGCGGAGTTAGTGGTCATTACAAAGAGTGGGCGGGGCTCTTTTGGACCATGTGGCAGGTCTGTGATTGGTCAGTAGAGCAGGGTGGGAGGGGTTTTGTGTATCCTGAGCGTTTGGATGGAGGAGAGAATTTTCTTCTGGTGGCCGGCGAGGGTCACGCCCACTCTGAGCAGGTCTCTATGGAAACAGGCAGAGAATATAGAAAGAGATGAGGGCCAAGAAACAGAAGACACCTTCACATCAGCCGTCATACGAACATGCGTGGCGGTGAGTTCACACGTATGTAGTGCGTCTTACTCGGTGTTGAGCTGAGACACGATGTCCAGGCTGGTGAAGCCGGCCTGCAGGAAGCTCTGCTCGTACCGCTCCATCTTCACGGCTCGCAGCCACTCAGACACCGAACCACACGCCGACAGGGGGGGCGGGGCACGCTGGTCCAACAGAGGCTGGGACGAACTGACACACAGACAGGCTTCATGAGAGAGAGACGGGCTTCATGAGAGAGAGAGAAACGGGCTTCATGAGAGACAGACGGGCTTCATGAGAGACAGACGGGCTTCATGAGAGAGAAACAGGCTTCATGAGAGACAGACGGGCTTCATGAGAGAGAGACGGGCTTCATGAGAGAGAGACAGGCGGGCTTCATGAGAGACAGATGGGCTACATGAGAGACAGACAGACGGGCTTCATGAGAGAGAGACAGACTTCATGAGAGACAGACGGGCTTCATGAGAGACAGACGGGTTTCATGAGAGAGAGACAGACGGGCTTCAAGAGAGACAGACACGCTTCATGAAAGACAGACAGACGGGCTTCATGAGAGACAGACGGGCTTCATGAGAGACAGATGGGCTTCAAGAGAGACAGACACGCTTCATGAAAGACAGACAGATGGGCTTCATGAAAGACAGACAGACGGGCTTCATGAGCGAGAGACAGACTTCATGAGAGACAGACAGACTTCATGAGAGACAGACGGGCTTCATGAGAGACAGACAGACAGGCTTCATGAGAGAGAGACAGTCACCTGGTGTCACACCTGCAGCTTCAGATGGGTTATTTTACAGACACACACACACTCACACTCACACACTCTCTCACACACACACACACACACACACAGGCATGTGACCTCCTCTGAACCTGCTCATGTAAACAACTGTCTGCATAAACAGCTGTCAATCACACAGCTGGCTGCCCCACTAGCCCCGCCCACTGCCTGTGTCTCCGTGGCAGACTCCGACCTTTGACCCCTTAAGCCACCAGCTGGTGCATGAATGACATTCCACAGCCCCCCCCCCCCTCACCTCGATCCTTCCAGGTGCGTCACCTTCAGGGAGGCGGGGTTTCGGATCAGCCTATCGAGCGCCGCCACCACGTCGCAGAACCTCGGCCGGTTGGCTCGCTCCTTCTGCCAGCAGTCCAGCATGAGCGCGTGCAGGGAGGCAGGGCACTCCGGCGGCGGGGGCAGCCGGTAGTCCTGCTCGATGGCGTTGATCACCTGAGGGAGAGACAGGAGAGTGAGACAGGTGAGAGACAGTCCAGTGTTTTTTCAGAACAAAAGCTCCATCTTCTGTTGTAGAATTAAAGGTTGAACAAAAGGTTTTCTGTCTTACGTCCTGGTTGCTCATGTCCCAGTATGGTCGTTCGCCGTATGACATCACTTCCCACATGACGATGCCGTAACTCCACGCATCACTGGCCGACGTGAACTTCCTGTATTCGGTCAATTAAATAAATAATCACTAATTAACCTCTGAAAGTGACAAACATGACAGAACAAGCTGCAGCACTGACACTCACCTGTAGGCGATGGCTTCAGGAGCCGTCCAGCGAATGGGAATCTTCCCTCCCTGAGAAACGACACAGAGCCCGTTACTGAGTGACAAGATGCAATTCTTTCAAAATAAAAGCATAGTGGAAAGCTGTGGGCGGGGCCATAGAGAGAACACACTGCTGTCCTGAGTGCATCTGGTTTCATGTTGTAATACTGGAGAGGTGTACTGTTCCTTTAAGGCTTGTTAGCTCGTCCCAACACCGCCAAAATAAAAGTGGAGTGAAAATCTCAGATAAGGACCAAAAAATAAAATAATCAAAGTAGAATTCCCACCTCATGGTCATCTGCCTGTTTTCAAGATATTCAAAAGGCCAAAATCATGTTTTGGGAGGTCAGTGTGACCTTTGACCTTCTGCCAACCCCCCCACCCACATACACACACACACACACACACACACACACACACAGAGCTGTGTCTCCATGACAAGGTTCTTCTAGTCCACAGCTGTTCCAGGTTCTTACCAGAGAGCTGGTGTACGTCGGGTCAGACGAGTTCTCCGTCAGGAACCTGCTGAGTCCGAAGTCTGACACCTGGAGACAGGACACATTCACACCTGTTACATCAGCTGATCAGCCGCTGTCACACAGACAGGTGGTCAGGTAGACAGGTGGTCAGGTAGACAGTTGGTCAGGTGGTCAGATAGACAGGTGGTCAGGTAGACAGGAGGCAGACCGTCTCACCTTACAGACCAGGTTGGAGTTGACCAGGATGTTGCGAGCTGCCAGGTCTCTGTGGACGAAGCTCATGTCGGACAGATACTTCATCCCTGCTGCGATCCCACGCAACATCCCCACCAGCTGGATGGTGGTGAACTGTCCATCATTCACCTGCACACAGACAGGTGGACAGACAGGTCAACAGACAGGTAGACAGACAGGTAGAGATGTGGTTGGATAGACAGACAGGTGGACAGTCAGACAGACAGGTGGACAGACAGGGAGAGGTGTGGTTGGACAGACAGACAGGTACAGGTGTGGTCGGACAGACAGACAGGTGAACAGACAGACAGGTAGAGGTGTGGTTGGACAGAGGATGGTGATCAGGTGTCTCACCCTCAGGAAACTGTCCAGCGCTCCGTTCTCCATGAACTCGGTGAGGATCATGACGGGACAGGAAGTGGTGATGACACCTTCCAGGTGGATGATGTTGGGGTGCTGGAACTGACCCATGATGGACGCCTCCGACAGGAAGTCCCGCCTCTGCTTCTCCGTGTAGCCGCCCTTCAGCGTCTTGATCGCCACGTAGTTCTCCTTCCTGCCCGGGATCCTCAAGCGCCCGCGACACACCTCGCCAAACTCACCTGGACAGGTACAGGTCATTAGAACACACCTGTCTGAGCTGGACAGGTTTGCTGAGGATTAAAACTTTCATCAGAGTCCTGACTGACACAGAGCACACCTGTCCAGGTGAGTGTGTCTTATAATAAAGTTCCAGTTAGATTTACTCTTCATGTCTCTGTTCATACGGTTCTTTAAAGAGAGAACACTGGAGAACCGAGGATCGACCAATGAGAGCAGCTGATGATGTCACACAGTCTCTGACAGAAGGAGCCAATCACAGTGGAGAACCATGAACCGCAGACCCTCAGTAAACTGGATCCATGTTTTCACAGGAGAGGTGTACTGTTCCTTTAAGGCTCATTAGCACATACCGACACGTCTACGCCTCACACACACTCATACGTGTGTGTGTGTGTGTGTGTGTGTGTGTGTGTGTGTTCACCAGCCGGTGAAAACCTTGCCCTCTTGTTTCCACAGTAACTGCTATCCAGTAACATCTCACTTAGTCATCACCAGAGACTACTACTACACACACACACACACACACACACACACACACACACACACACACACACACACACACACACACTCATGTTCTCTCAGGTTCTCCTGATGATGGGAAACCGTCTGAGCCACAGATGTGACGTTTGCTTACGTTACACTAGAGAATCGTGGTTTTCTAACGAGCTCCTGTTCGTCTGTGTGAGTCTCTGACTTCAGTCACTAAAATCAGGAAAGTGATGTCACAGCCAATCAGCAGCAGAGCTGTTCTACTGTGAGCTCAGAGGGAGGAGACGTTGTCCTGAGTTTATTGTGGCGACAGAAACAGACTTCATCTTGATCAGATGAAGATAGAAACTTCACATTGACTCTAGAACAATCCAATCAGCTGTGAGCAACTTCCTCCTTCTTTATTCTGGTTTTTATCCATAAAATAAGGAAAGATTCAACCTTTATTGTACTGTATATATTATATACTGAGTCCTTAATGAGTGACATGTATAATCAGCTGATGTTGAGCAGATTCTGAATCTGGAGTGAAGCTTAAAAAAACGACACTTTTATTTGGAAAAACACAAAGTTAAGATAAAATGAAAAGTGTAATTGTGGGTGTAATCTGATTCCTCTGCTGATGATGACGTTTTATTTTACTGACGCAGGAACTTTTTAACTAGTAAAAGGTTTAGAGATAAAGTCTGACTCTCTCTCCTCACTCTGGGCGTGAAGGGGTTAAACAGGTGAGACTGACAGGTGAGAGTTACCTGCTCCGATCACTTCCTCTATCTTCACGAAGGAGGCGTCGATTTCCTTGGCAAACTCCCTCACTGCCTCGTTAGGATCCTCGTAGGTGAACGGGTCGATGTACACCTTCATCGCTGCAACAGTGACATCATCACCATCATCATCACCATCATCATCACCATCATCATCAGTTGGACACAGACAACAGGAAACTCACTCTGTCCCATTGGGTAGTGTCCACTCTTGTCATTCATCTCTGAGCCCCGCCCCCTCCTCCTCCTCCTGCTGAGAGAGAGCGACAGAGAGAGAGAGACAGAGAGAGCGACAGAGAGCGAGAGAGAGAGAGCGACACAGAGAGAGAGAGCAACAGCGAGCGACAGAGAGAGCGACAGAGAGAGACAGAGAGAGACAGAGAGAGAGAGCAACAGAGAGCGAGAGAGAGAGCGACAGAGAGAGAGACAGAGCAACAGAGAGCGACAGAGAGAGCGACAGAGAGAGAGAGAGAGAGACAGAGAGAGAGAGCGACAGAGAGAGAGACAGAGAGAGAGAGCAACAGAGAGCGAGAGAGAGAGAGAGCAACAGAGAGTGAGAGAGAGAGCGACAGAGAGAGCGACAGAGAGAGAGAGCAACAGAGAGCGACAGAGAGAGAGAGAGAGAGCAACAGAGAGCGAGAGAGAGAGCAACAGAGAGCGACAGAGAGAGAGAGAGAGAGCGACAGAGAGAGAGAGAGAGAGCGACAGAGAGCGAGAGAGAGCAACAGAGAGCGAGAGAGAGAGCGACAGAGAGAGAGAGAGAGCAACAGAGAGCGAGAGAGAGAGCGACAGAGAGAGAGAGAAACAGAGAGCGAGAGAGAGAGAGAGAGAGACAGAGAGAGAGAGCAGCAGAGAGCGACAGAGAGAGAGAGAGACAGAGAGAGAGAGAGCGACAGAGCGACAGAGAGCAACAGAGAGAGCGACAGAGAGAGAGAGAGAGAGCAGCAGAGAGCGACAGAGAGAGACAGAGAGAGAGAGAGAGCAACAGAGAGCGACAGAGAGAGAGAGCCACAGAGACTTTGACTTTAACACAACTTTATTTGGGACCTTATCAATAACGTCCTTTTTCACTAAGTCAAATAATCAAAATGTTACTGCAAACAGAAAGAAAAATGAATAAATAAATAAATAAATAAAACAAAACAAAACAAAACAAGAAAACTTCCATTCACACACTCTCTCACACACTAAGGGGTAAAACACCAACTAAAACTAAGCTAAGCTAAGCCAAGCCTATAAGATAAGCTAAGCTAAGCTCGCAGGGCGAGAATAAGTCCACACGGCAAGCCGCTGAAGCTGCTGCAAGTCCTGAAGTTCGCAGTTTCTGGAGACTTGATGTCAATTCCAGGCCCTGCGCCCCCTCCTGCCACAGGAGGTACAGGCCGACGCTCTCACCTTCAAATGACATCCAGTTCCAAAGAAGTCCAACCAGGAGCCGGCTGCAGTTGTTCCACGAGGTCAGGCGGAGGCATGCAGCACCTGCAGTCCCTGTGCATCAGAGGGACGCGGGCCACCACGGTTGTGACAATCAGAGCTTCTTACCCTGTAGAGGACAGCTGGAGGTAGAACCATAGTCCAACATTATTATTAGCAACTTAGCTTGCACTTTACCCCTCAGCACATCCCCTCCAGTTTTTGCCTTTTCCCTGTCTCAACTGCCGTAAGTGAACCCAGGACCTTCATCCCTGCGTTTCCCCCCACTGCCAGGTTTGCCCTAGGAGGCCTGGAGTGTTTTCCTCTGCTCTCACACTCCCGCACCAGCCTTAAGACATGCCTGCGCTCTTCCCCAGTGATGTACCCCTGCTGGGAGGCTGTATTCTCGTAAGAGTAGGCCTTGCCTCAAGCTCCTTGATGTCCCTCTGGTCCTTGACAAAGATGTTAATCGTGCGTCTGCCATAAGGCCGATACGACCACAAGGGGGGCCGAGAGCCCGGCCAGGCAGACACACGACCCCTCAGCCGCTTCCCATGAGCCTCCGCACAGGAGCGGTTTCAATGGCCAACTGTAACCAGTGTCCCTGAGATAGGCCAATCCCTGCCTGATCCCCGCATTCCCAACTCTCTATCGGACAGCTCAGCCCCCCACCTTCACCCACAACAACGCACTTCCTGTACAATAATCTCACCCAGACAAAAAGTGCTCACCTCGACACCAAACGCTGCAAATGTGGGCAAACAAGAAAGAGTGATTCTAACACGGAGTCAAAGCTTTCTCACTCTTGATCGTATTCGATAAATGCCAACATTTAAATTATATAATTTGCAAGACATCAAAATGTCTTCATTTAAAAACAATTATCCTTATTGATTTGGTCCCTGGACAACAGTTAGGACTGATTGGCACAAATTATTTGGTCGCAATGAAAACTTTCAGTCTGTTGGATAAAACCTTAGATAAAATTTTATAGTCTGTGCATAAGAGAGCCACAGGTCTCCAGTTTTTAAGGAGCGTTAAATCTCCCTTCTTGGGCAGCAGGGAGATCGCTGCACGGCGACAGGAAGCAGGAAGACTCCCTTTGTTAAAAGACTCCTTAAAAACATCCAACAGGTCGTGTCCCAGTAAGTTCCAGAAATGCTTAAAAAAGTCCATCCGTCCATCCCTGGAGCTTTCCCTGAGGCCATGTGGGTGATGGCCGTGGTCAGCTCCTGCAGAGACAGGTCCAAGCTGAGGGTATCACGGTCCTCCGGCCTCAGCCGAGGAAGCTCGTCCAGCAGCTCCTCAGTAGCGTCCATGTCGCAGCTCTCCGCCCTGAACAGGTCAGAGTAATACTCCACCGTGTGTCTCCTCATTTCCGCCGGGTCAGAGGTCAACCTTCCGTCCGGCAGGCGGAGACACACCATCTGCTTCCTCTGGGCCTCGGACCTCTCCAGGCTGAAGAAGAAGCTGGTCGGAGCGTCCATATCCTTCAGTGAAGTGAAGCGAGCTCGGACCAGAGCTCCTTTGGCTCTCTCATGGAGGATGGAGCTCAGCTGCTGTCTTCTGGAGGCCAGAGTCTGTGTGTCGGCTGAGGACACACTCTCCAGCTCTCTGATCTCTGTCTCCAGCTGCTCCACAGCCCTCCTGATGTTAGCCGTGGAGTAGGCTGTGTACTGCTGGCAGAAGACCCTAATCTGACCCTTGCCCACCTCCCACCACTGACTAAGGGAGGGAAAAGACCCCTTCCTGGATTTCCAATAAAACCAAAAGTACTTAAAATTTTCACAAAACGTAGAGTCACGTAAAAGCTTAACGTTAAAATGCCAGAACGATGAGGATTTCTGGGTGGGAGATAAAAACAGCTCTGCTGACACTAGATGGTGGTCTGTGAAACCAACAGGGAGGATGTTACTGTTGGTAACACGAGCTGTAAAAGCAGCAGAGATGTAAAGTCTGTCCAGCCTGGCCTGTAACAGCTCAGCCTGCTGTGCACCACCCTCCTGTCCCTGCTCTGCCCCGCCCACTTTACCCACCTGACCACACTCCTGTCCCTGCTCTGCCCCGCCCAC